CGCAAATACTGCCTATAGGGAATTACCACGATTGGACAGTAATTAGTCCGCATTATTGACTGATAAGTACTTTCCGACGGCCATAGGTGTAAGCGGATTACTACCGGGGACCTTCGTTTAGGTGAGGACGTTGCCTGATGGGAAAGAGCCAACGGAGCAGCAGAAGATACGATGGCTGGAGCAGAAAGTTCATTTGCTGGATTCTGGCTTGAACCCATCATCAGGGGTAACTGCAGAATAGGGTGATATAAGCACAGACGAAGAGTTCAGACAGAATCCGAAACGTCAGGCAAATAAACTTCCTGTTCCAGCCATCGCATCTTCTACTTTTTAACTTTTTCCTGGAATTCGCCTGTTCGCTTCTATCAGTCAACGTAGAGTCCCCATAAGTGAACACACAATATTTGCCAGAAGTTATTTGGATGGCTTAGGTGAGACGGGGTATGAGCTAAACGCAGTAAATTGGGACGTTGCTAACTAGCGATAGAACTTAGTGTCCGCAGCCAGCGGGTACTGAGAATCAGGCTACAATGGCTCCTTCTACGGCACTCCTACTTCTTAGGGTTGGAGCCATGGGTGGAGCGGTCCCGCTCGCACTAGCTACCTGCGCCCTCTTCCGTCTCCGATCGGCTTGACTGAGTAATAAATTTGGGCCTAAGTGGAAGGGGACGAGAGAGAGAGTGGCGCGAGTCACTGTTCCCAACGTCGTCTTGTTGGGGCGTCGAAACCGACGGTCAAACTGCCAGATGACGGATACCGGTGGTGAAAGTAATGCGGGCGGGACATAAGGGTCTTGCAGTGCAGAGATCTTCCAAGTCCTTGTTACGGACAGCTTGTAAGCCACACATCTTTTAAGGATATCCCAGCAACTGTTGCCTCTTGTACAATTTAGTTGTTGGGTTCTTGTGAAGTGGTTTGCCAGGAAGCCGGTTTGACAGGCAGGCAACAAGACAGCTCCGTGGTTGCGTGCCTTGACTCTAGGGATGAACAACTAAGTACCCTTAATTCGTATTATCTTCAATCTAGTGGAAATAAGGGGCAGGAAATGTTTGATTGCATGCACCAACACCTCGTTAGTGTCATCAGGAGTGCAAATTCTCAACGAAACAGGACCTCGGGCTCTAGTAGAAAAAAAAAAAGACATTCAAATTTGAGTATTTATTTTTGTGCTAAGTGCTCTACTAAAAGTTTTGGTGTGAAACTAAGGGAGGTTCTCTCTTATCAGCGCACTGCAGAATTCTCTGACTAGAATCCACGCTGTGCAAATACAGGCTAGTCATCGATTTCGTGCGAAGAGCAACAAAGTTGCCCCTTAGAATTGGTGCTTCTGTCCTTGGTGAGTAGTTTTTTTTTAACAAACTCGCGCAGCACAGAAGAGGGGAGCACTCATGAGGCTGTTGTCATCGTCGTGGTAGTGGTCGCTGCAGTACTGAGTGGATCGTTTTGGCAGTATTCGGCTGGTATCTTGCGAAGAGCATTGGCACAAACGTCTCCGATTCCCTAAAATGAATTTAAAAATGCTCGTACATCAGAAAGTTCTGCGTCAGCCCCTCGTCTCGCCTCTACTTCCGGCTGGCAAGTTTGTCCACCATACACAAAATTAAAAGACACCCAATATCAAATTAAAAACAGGAACCTTATCTTGGGGTAAAGTTCCGAATGCCACGGAAAGTGTTGACTTTACGCGGTAGGTAATCATTTAAACTAACACCTGGGACGCTATGCAGAAACATGAGCCAACGGGTAGGGCTTGAGAATGATGGTGCCTTGCACGCTGGAATCAAGCATAGGGATAAGGAAGCCCTTTCATCTGAACTTTGTCCGACGTGACCTCAGACCATCGTATCGTATGTACAATGTAGTGTAATAAACTCAATGACCAAAGGTCCCGGGGTTCCGACCCTTGAGATTGGGTATGACCGGCTGATGACAGCTAACAAGCCAGAAATGGTCATTCCGGTTTCCCTTTGCTTTGTCAGATCCATTCCATCTTGCCCTACTAGTCACTATGTGACTACCTGCGTGGGCTCTAATTGTAAGCTCCAGGGCGAAACCGAACTTACTTTTTCCATAATATTATCGGCGATTCTCACATACTCATGTGCGATCACGCCTGACTTAGCCGGCCTCTTCGAAGTGGTGGAATAGAATGCTACAGAGCACTTCTCATCTCCAACAAAACCGGCCGGACGGATACTCAGTTAACACGGCAATAGAGTTATTGTGAGGGGTCTGCATACACAATCTAAGGCTTGCGAAGACCGGCTGAGGACCGCCGACTCCGATAACTGTGTCATTCTTATTCTGCCCTTTGGGTAACGTCTTCTGCACTTCGCCCCAAGTAGTTAAAACTTCTGGTTATAAAACCAGATGGGCATCACCGATAAAGATAAGGGAGAGTGGAATGGCTATTTGTGGCTTATTAGCCGTCAGCAGCTAGCCATTCCCAACCCGATACAAAAGATGTCTTCAGCTGGTCAGAAATACATTAAATCATTGAAAGCAAGGAGGATTGAAGAATTTATTGACGTCATACAATTTCGTGACCTCTGGATACTGTCATGGCCTATTAATAAGATAAAACAAACTGTCGAATTAAGAACTGATCTAGGTGAATATAGCATGAGTTGTTGGTCGTAGATTCGAGTGCGCTTGATGAGAAGGAAGACGAGGAGGAAGAGGCAGTTATCGAAGCAAGGCCGTTCAGGTTACAGTTAAAGCCTGTCAAACGTGAGTGAATCCGTTAAATGCTGCAAGTCTCGTTGCCTTTGTGTTATTAATAGATACATAAATCGTTAATAAATTAAAAAACAGAAAAAAACAGGGCAAGCATTGGTGTGTTCCAAGCCTCAAATATCTACTTTACTCGGAATAGCATAAATCTAGGTACCCATTCCTAGGTAAGATTGAGAGAACACGAGCCCAGCGCTGACTCTAATTAGCGTCATTTCTGACCAATTATTAGCGTGAGCAATAGAACCAGCAATAGTATCTCTCGGCTACACTGCTAATAAGTAGCAGGGTAGATAGTAGTAGTAGTAGATAGTAGTAGTAGTATCAATATCATACTTGGTGTCCTTGAGTCCCTCTCGACACCTACTGAAAGTGAGTGACAAAAGGCAGTGCAGTAATATCAGCGCGAAAGGCTACTGGCACTTAAGACTAAGTTAGGCGGTGTTGCTGGCCTGCATTGGAGAAAGTGGCTTACGCCTGATTTCTGCTCAGCCATCTCGACTCTGTCTTGTCACCAGTTCAAGTGAGGATAGGGTTTAGAGTGTGGTAGATGGCTGCTCGTCTACTTTCACTATACCTGACTGCATTTAAAATCCCTGCTCTTGGGCATATGGTGGACATTATCGAAATCGATGATCGAACAATCAGTCAGTAAACTACTACATTAGGCTCTACTGTCTTCAATGGGACGTCAACTCTTTCTCCACTTCTTAGGTACACGGCGTTAATCACGCGTAGTGAGACTTCAACAGGACGGTAATTTCAAAGAAAA